TCCCTGGGGGTTAGACAGCCACCGCCGCCCTAGACAGTGGGAAGGGGGAGCCCCAGTAGCTTCCATTCTGGGGATCACGTCCCCCTCGGAGCCTGTCGAGGGCCTTGCGCGCGAGCCTTGCCGCATCACAACTCTTCCTGGCCAGGGGAACGCAACAGTCCGTCAGGAGATGGGCCTGTCGGCGCCCATATGCCCCGCACGTCCTGCCGAAAACTATCGTGTCCCCCCCCCATCCCATAGGACCCATTTCCAGGCCCGTCGCCCCCACCCCGAATCACCCACAGCCTATGGGATGGGTGGGACTGGGCAACCAACCTGGGGTGCCCTGGGCATCGCTTTGAAACGGCCCTGGCCCTCGAAGCCCGTCGGGCCCCGCAGACGGAACGGCCCCAAGCTCGGCCGAGCCTACACACCTGGTGGCTCATGTCGGGCCGAACCTGAGCCCGAGGACCAGGGAGGGGGCCTCGATCAGGCCACCTAAGTTGCACCACACAGATTGCACCACATATATTGCTCCACCTAGATTGCACAAAATGAATTGCTAGAAGCACACAGCCAAATATGTATATGACATGTATATAAGTATCGAGAGAGGGGGGATAAGACAAAGCATGACCTCTTATCCATCATCCCCTCGCTCTCCCGCGAGCCCGATGCGGCAGCGGCAATGACACCCCTGCACGGAGACTGCCTGGTAGCGCAGGCGCCGGCGACGACGACGGAAACGCAAACGACTGACGACAAGCCCGGCGCCGCAGACGACGACGACGACGACGCAAAGATGACGGCGACAGCGACGGCGGCGACGGCAGCGACGACGAGGATGACGACGGCGTCGACGACGACGACGACGACGACGACGAGGATGTCGACAACGACGACGACGACGACGACGACCTGGACAGCCCCGGCGCCGTCGGCCGCGTCCATCACGGTGGCGCCCACGACGGATGCGAAGCGGCCGCGTCCGAGCGCTGCGGCGCCAGGCTTGCCAGGTCCTGAAAGGTCCCTGCCCGCTCCTGCTCCTGCTCCTCCTGCCCTTCCTTGTCCCCTCCGCTTCCTCAACCTGATCCTCCTCAAGCTCGTCCTGCATCTCGTGCTGCCCCTCGGCCTCCTCTCGTGGTGGTCCTGAGGATGTTGATGCCGGCGCCCGCGCTGGCGCCAGGCGCCGATGCTGAAACCGATGCTGCTGGTGCGGGTACGGATGCTGGCTGCTGCTGCTCTTCCTCCTGCTCCGCCCTCCCCCTCTCCGTCGAGTTCCAGCTTCGCCTCCCCAGGGGGCCACATGCGAACCCTACCCCTCCCCCCCACGATCTCTGAGGGGCAGCGAAGTGAACCCCACCCTCCCCCCCTCAGAGATCGTGGGGGATAGGGGTGGGGTTCCCATGTGGCCCCCTGCTTCCACGTCACGCTCAGCAGCCTCAGAGCCCGCTGCCCCTCCGCTCTCCTCCCGCACTCGCCGATCCCAGCGCCGCAGCGGCTGGCCTCGGGCGCCAGCTTCCCGCTCCGCGCCCTTGGCTCCGCTCCTCCCCCCCCCTTGCGAGGCGGGGATCAATCCACATCCACCGCCTGGGAAACGACGCCCTGGTGCCCCAGCGCGAGGTGGATACAGTTGGGGCGTTGACACAACGAACCCAAAATCCGCCGACCCTGTCGGCGTGTGGAAGAGGCTTTGTTGTTTGTTGCTTCTTCCTCGTCGTTCCTTTGTCCCGTTTCCCTGCAGCGTCGTCGTTTTTTGCCCTTTCCTTTTCCTCGTCGTCTCTGAATCAAAGGGAAGCCCCTTCCCTTTCTTCCCTTCCAAGCGCGAGGAAGGGGGGGGTCCCGTTCCTTTTCCTCGTCGTCTCTGAATCAAAGGGAAGCCCCTTCCCTTTCTTCCCTTCCCCGCGCGGGGGGGGGGTCCCGGGGGGGGATAGCGAGGGGGGGTAGCGAGGGGGGTCCTGGGTCAGATACGCCGCCATCCTGGGGATCCTCGGTCAGAGGGAACACCCTTCCCTTTCTTTCCTTCCCCGCGCGGGGGGGGGGTCCCGGAGGGGTAGCGAGGGGGGGTAGCGAGGGGGGTTAGCGAGGGGGGTCCTGGGTCAGATACACCGCCCTCCTGGGGCTTCTCGGTCAGATACATCGCCCTCCTGGATTCGCAATGTCGCCTCTGAATCAAAGGCAAGCCCCTTCCCTTTCTTCCCTTCCCCGCGCGAGGGCAGGGGGGGTCCCGGGAGGGGGTAGCGAGGCGGGGTAGCGAGGGGGGTAGCGAGGGACAGAGGCACCTGAGATGCCCATCAAACGTTCCGAGAGGCATCTCAAATTAACACGCCACTCTCGTGTTCAATTCTGTCCTTCGGGTCTTTGTGCCGACGACGACGACGACGCCGACGAGGACGACGACGACGACGACGACGCGTGCGACGTCGACGACGACGACGCCGACACGAGGACTGAATTTAAAACGCCACTCTCGTGTTAAGTTCTGTCCTTGGGGCCCTAGTGCCGACGCGACGACAAGGACGACGACGACGACGACGAGTGCGACGTCCACGACGCCGACGTCGACGACGACGACGACGACGACGACAACGACGACTCGAGGACAGAATTTAACACGCCACTCTCGTGTTAAATTCTGTCCTTCTGGTCCTTGTGCCGACGACGACGACGACAACGCCGACGAGGACGACGACGAAGCGTGCGACGTCGACGACGACGACGACGACGACGACGACGACGACGACCACGGACGACGAAACGAAATTAACGCGCCACTCTCGTGTTAAATTCTGTCCTTCGGGTCCTTGTGCCGACGACAACGACAAGGACGACGCGTCGTCGTCGCGACGACGACGACGACGACGACGACGAGGACGACGGACGACGACGACGACGACGACGACGACGACGACGACAGGAGGACAGAATTTAACACGCCACTCTCGTGTTCTATTCTGTCCTCGGGGTCCTTGTGCAGACGACGCGGACGACGACGACAACACGAGGACAGAATTTAACACGCCACTCTCGTGTCAAATTCTATCCTGGGGGTCCTCGTGCCGACGCCGACGACGACGACGACGACGACGACGCCGACACGAGGACAGAATTTAACACGCCACTCTCGTGTTAAATTCTGTCCTGGAGGCCCCGGTGCCGACGGCGACGACAAGGACGACGACAACGACGACGGGTGCGACGTCGACGACGTCGACGTCGACGTCGACGTCGACGCCGACGCCGACGACGACACGATGACAGAATTTAGCACGCCACTCCGATTCTTGTGGGTCCTTCAAAATGTTGCTCCCGCTGCAGCGCTGCCCCCATTTCTGCGCCGATGGCTCCCAGCTCTGACCTTCCCTGGATACCCCACCGCACGTACATCCGCCGCCGCAGGCACTCACAAATGTCATGAACTGCCTGCCCCCAGTGTTGTAGTCCCCTGAAACGAGAGCTGCTCCCGAAAACCTCCTCCCGCATCATCCGTGCCTGTTTCTTCACCCCTCTCTGACAGCTTTCACTGGTCCTCCCCCACGTGTTCGTCGTCCCTGCCTGCTCCATCCATTAACTCCTGCTCCCCCTTCTCTACCTTTTCCATTTCTCCTCCGCATCGTCATGCTCCTCTTGCTCCTCCTCCCACCTGTTCCTCCTCCTTCACTCCTCCGTCTCCTCCTCCTCCCCGCCCTCTCCCCCCCGTTTCCCTCGAGAGCCGATGCCTCCAGGGTCGGCGGCACAGGCCGTAAGGCCAGCGCAATAAGGAACGAGGCCCCTTTTTCCCATAAGTTAAACTCAGATGTTCCATGGAAAACCTCAGGAAAACCCAAGGAGCACTGTAAAACAACTGAGGAACACGGAGCCCCTCCCAAACGAAAAGGGTTCCTTCTTCAGCGCCCCGACTGTATGGATATATGTTGGCCCCCTGGGGCCCGAATATGTCCATATCCACCGCCTGCCGAGGCTCCGAAAACTGAACCTCCAGGCGGTGGTCATGTACAAGTTCCCGCCTCGGACCCCTCCCCTGCCCAGTCCGACTCCTCCTACCTCTGACAAGGGACAACCATCGGCGGCCAGCACGGGGGGGGAGTGAGAGGAGGCAGGCCTTCTCAGCGGCTCGGAAGTCCTCCAGCCTTCTGAGAAGCCTTCTCCGAAGGCACAGGAAATCTCCCATAAGCTGGATGGCTTCTGAGAAGCCCAGCCGCCTTCTTTGAGCAGGGACCGACCGTCCCGGCATTCCTATAGTCCTACCACGAAATGTTCTTAGAACCCAAAAATGGTCTAATAACAAAAACAATGTTCTTCGCACATAAGCCCGATGTGTTCGAACAAGACAGCCCCAGCCAGAAATGTTCTGAGAACATTTCGTGGGAACCACAAAAGGTTCTCAGCACATCGTTTGGTAGGGCTACAGACGAGCCAGGACGCTTCGCCACTGCTCGACTTCTGCGAAGGCCTTCTCCTTCTCGCGTCCCCCCCTCGCTCGCCGCCGAAACCGCCCCGAGGCTCCAGGAGGGCGAGCGCCTCGAGCGAGGAGGAGGACCCGCGAGAACGACGGCGGCGGCGGCGGCGACGAGGCGACCCGCGCCGGCGGCCTCGAGCTTCCATCCACGGCGCGGCGCCCCGCGGCTCGCCCCGACCCGCCCCCTGGTCGGCGGCGAGCCAGGGAGGGAAAGGGAGACGGGGGCCCGGGGACGCACAGACAGACAGACACAACTCCCTGGAGGTTCGCCCCCCCCCCCCGCCACTTCCCATGTGTCCCATACTTCCCCTGGGAGAGTGAGAGGGGGCCCAGGGACGCACAGACAGACAGGCCCAACTCCCGGGAGGGTCGCCTCCCCCGCCACCTCCCATGTGCCCCGTACTTCTCCCTGGGAATCGACGAGCAGTCGTGTCTCGGTGTGCCTTTTCCTCTCCTGGTGCTCCAAGGCGGCGGGACTTCTCGGACGCCGTCGCGCCTCCCGAGAAGTTGCCTGCGTCTTCGGGGAGGGCCCAGAAGACTTTACAGAAGGCCTGGGGGAATTCCGAGCCTATTGAGAAGGCCCGCCCCCTCCTCACGTCCCCCCACGCTCCCTCCTCCTCCTCCCCCTCCTCCTCCTCCTCCTCCTCCTCCTCCTCCTCCTCCTCCTCCTCCCCCTCCAACTCCTCCTCCTCCTCCTCCTCCTCCTCCTCCTCCTCCTCCTCCCCCTCCTCCTCCCCCTCCTCCGCCTCCCCCCCCTCCTCCTCCTCCCCCGCCGCCGACCTAAGACTGCGTGGTCATCCCGGCTCGTCTGTTGACAGCCTCGGGCGCCCTGGGCCCGAAAGCGGCCCTCAGACATGGAGATCGCGAGAGAGAACTCCACCAATACGATGTCGACAGCGACCACGAAGACAGTACCGACAGTGACGACAATGACGACCATGACGACGACGACGACGACGACGACGACGACGACGACGACGACGAAAACGCCGACGGCGACGGCGGCGACGACGAAGACGCGACGGCGACGGCGACGGCGGGGGCGGCAACGGCGACGGCGACGGCGACGGCGACGAATCGGGGATCTACTGACCCGGGTAAATCCCGGCAAGGGCGGCGACGACGACAGCGACGGCGACGAGTCGGTGATCTACTGACCCGGGTGAATCCGCACGCGGGTCAGTCGGGCCTTGCAGGATCCTGCAAAAGCCTGCAGGATCCTGCACGCTGACCCGGGTCAGTGCACCGCCTGGCTCTGCAGGATCCTGCCAGATCCGGCGCCCTGGCTCAGCCCCGTTTGCATTGACCCCCGCCTCTCGAGCCCCGAACGCACGTGCGCCTGACTTCGCGCTCCCCGCTGCGCGAAGCGCGGAGCGCGAAACGCGGACAACTTCGCGCTCTCGCGCTGCCCCCCCCGGGGAGACGAGGCGGAGGAGGAGGAGGAGGAGGAGGAGGAGGAGGAGGAGGAGGAGGAGGAGGAGGAGGGGCCGGAGCGCGCAGCGCGCAGCGCGAACGGCTTCGCGCCCTCGCGCGAGGGCGCGCCCCTGCGAACGAGGAGCAGCGGCGCTCCTCCGGCGGCCTCCGACGCGACGACCCGCGCGCGCTCCACCGCGCCCAGCTCCGTGCGCGCCGCCAGCGCCGCCAGGGCCTCCAGCAGCGCCGCCCGCTCGACGGCCTGCGCCGCCGCCGCCGCCGCCGGCTCGAGGCTCGAGGCTCGGGACTCGAGGCTCGGATCGGCGGCGAGCGAGGGGGGGAAGTCGAAGAGGAGGAGGAGGAGGAGGAGGAGGAGGAGGAGGAGGAGGCGGAGGACGAGGAGGAGGAGGAGGCGGAGGAGGAGGCGGAGAGGAGGAGGAGACGGGCAGCGACGTGTCGACGAGTGTAGGAGGAGGAGGAGAAGGAGGAGGAGGAGGAGGAGGAGGAGGAGGAGCAGAGGAGGAGAGGAGGAGGCGGAGGAGGAGGAGGAGGAGGAGGCAGGAGGAGGAGGAGGAGGAGGAGGAGGAGGAGGGCCCGGTGTTCCTGATCCAACGTTTCCTGCGGCAGCCTTATGGCATCAACCGCGGCCCACAGACGGCGGGACTTCTCAGAAGCCCTCGCGCCTTCCGAGAGGCCTTCCGCATCGTCGGGGGAAGGCTCAGAAAACTCATCAGAGGGCCCGGGGACTTCCGAGCCCCCTGAGAGGGCCCGCCCCCTCCCCACTTCTAGGGGGCCACAGGCGAACCCTACCCCTACCCCCCACGATTTCTAAGGGGGAGGGTGGGGTTCACTTCGTTCGGGAGCTCCCGAGCGAAGTGAACCCCACCCTCCCCCTCAGAAATCGTGGGGGGTAGGGGTAGGGCTCGCCTGTGGCCCCCGAACTTCCCCCCCGAGGCTCGCCGCCGACCCGAGGCTCGGGGGTCGAGGCTCGGGGCTCGAGGCCCGGGGCTCGGAGCTCCAGGTTCGGGGCTGCAGGCTGGTGCCTCGGCGCCTCCGGGGCCCGCCCGGGCATCTCCCAGGAGGGCTCGAGCGAGCCCCCTCGGGGGGGGGGAATCTGCAGCGGGGCCACTGCCTTTGCCTGCCTCTTCTTTTCCCTTCCCTTTGCCTTTGGCTTTGGACTGTCTGAGGGTGCCACTGACGCTGCGGGAACTCTGAGGCCACCCGTTCTCAAGGATGGCACACTGTAGCTGATCGCCGATGACGACTCGAACCGTGGCCCCTTCCCTCATTGCGGGGGCTGGTCGGAACCAGTGCGCCCAGGACGGCCCCCAGGCCCCCAGGATCCCGACGAGCCCCCCAAACGGGCCTCCCAAACTCTCCAAAAACGGGGCCCCCCAAGGAGCCAAGAAGCCTCCGAGGAGGCCCCCGGGAAGCCTTCCGTGTGCCTCTCAAGATGGGGAGGGGTGGGGGGAAGATGGGGAGGGACGATCAGGAACGAGGAATGAAAATGATAACCAGGCTGCGGACGAGGAGGGGGCGCCCAAGCCCTACTCCAGGTCACGCAGGGCACTGTGCTGGCGCGGGCCTCAGACTCAACCTGTCCTGCGACAAGACCCGCCCTGATCCGCCTCCCGACACACAACAAGCAACAAGAGGCGTATCGGTACGGATCGGCGGTGGACAAGCCTCCCTTTAATAAACCTCCCTTCAGTGAAATCGGCCTGGGACCGAAACCGACGGACCTGGACCCCCAAAAATGACGGTCGCGACGCCCTCTCGCGAACCGAAAACGGCCAATTCCTCAATCGACGTGTCAGGGTAGGAGGTCTGCTCATCCCCAAACGGATCTCGAAACGTAGATTGAACAAGTAAGTCTGACACGATGCGCTCGCCAAAACGTGGGCCAATTCGCTTAAGTCGCTTAAAACTATAGAAAATACTCCAAACATACCCCCCCAAATGCTCACAAATAATCGAAAAAATCGTCCCCAGACTATTTTTGTTAACTATTTTTGAATATTCCTCCTGTAGAGGGACTATCGGAAACCAATACTATTTGCCCCTCCCATCCCTCCACGGAGGCCCCGCCTGAGCGAGGAGGGTATCGGAAACCTATATTATTTACATGGTTTCGTGCCCCTCCCATCCCTCCAAGGAGGCCCCGCCTGAGCGAGGAGGGTATCGGAAGCCCATGCTATCTACATGGTTTCGTGCCCTTCCCTCCTCTCCAGGGAGGCCCCGCCTGAGCGAGGAGGGTATCGGACACCGTACTATTTACAAGGCTTCGTTTCCTGAGCACCTGTCTTCCCTCCTCCTTTCTTTCGTCTGCCCTTTCGTGCGTACTTACTCGTTCGATGAGTTGCTCCTTCGTGTTGATGTTGTCGTACCCCATGGGTCCCACGAAACCGTTAATGTCTTTATGTGGGGAACTCCGTTAGCATAATTTTGAATATTCCTCCTGTAGAGGGACAGGCCCGATTTCACAATACGCCGAGCCAACACGCAGCGCCTCGGCGCTAAAACGCGTCGCGCCCGGTGCGCGCTGCGCCGCCTCCGGGCGGGCGCGGCGCGGCCGCGCGCGGCGCCGTGGCGCACACTCGGGAGCGCTCGGCGGAGCCGCCGCGCCCCCTCCTCCTCCTCCTCCTCCTCCTCCTCCTCCTCCTCCTCCTCCTCCTCCTCCTCCTGCTCCTGCTCCTCCTCCTCCTCCTCCTGCTCCTGCTCCTGCTCCTCCTCTCCTCCTCTCCCTCCTCCTCCTCCTCCTCCTCCTCCTCCTCCTCCTCCTCCTCCTCCTCCTCCCTCCTCCCCTCCCCCTCCTTCCTCTCCCCCTGCTCCTCCTCCCCCTCCCCCCTCCTCCTCCTCCTCCTGCCTCCTCTCCTCCTCCTCCTCCTCCTCCTCCTCCTCCTCCTCCTCCTCCGCCTCCTCCTCCTCCCTCTCCTCCTCCTCCTCCTCCTCCTCCTCCTCCTCCTCCTCCTCTCCTCCTCCTCCTCCTCCTCCTCCTCCTCCTCCTCCTCCTCCCTCCTCCTCCTCCTCCTCCTCCTCCTCCTCCTCCTCCTCCTCCTCCTCCTCCTCCTCCTCCTCCTCCTCCTCCTCCTCTCCTCTCCTCCTCCTCCTCCTCCTCCTCTCCTCCTCCTCCTCCTCCTCCTCCTCCTCCTCCTCCTCCTCCTCCTCCTCCTTCCTCCTCCGCCTCCTCCTCCTCCTCCTCCTCCTCCTCCTCCTCCTCCTCCTCCTCCTCCTCCTCCTCCTCCTCCCCTCCTCCTCCTCCTCCTCCTCCTCCTCCTCCTCCTCCTCCTCCTCCTCCTCCTCCTCCTCCTCCCTCCTCCTCCTCCTCCTCCTCCTCCTCCGTTCCTCCCCCTCCTCCTCCTCCTCCTCTCCTCCTCTCCTCCTCCCCTCCTCCTCCTCCTCCTCCTCCTCCTCCTCCTCCTCCTCCTCCTCCTCCTCCTCCTCCTCCTCCTCCTCGTCCTTCCCAGGTGCGGACCCCACCATGCCCCCCGAGAGAGAGCCCCGCGAGGCCTCCGAGGGGCTTCGGAGGGGGCGCCCAAGGAGTCTCTCCCGGATGCCGTCGACGGGGGGGAGGAGCGAGAAGAAGGGGGGGGGGAGATGAGGAGGGACAAGGAACGAGGAAGGGGAAGGAGAACGAGGCTGCCAACAATGAAAGGCTGCCGAGGACTACCGCGAAGAGAAGGAGGCGCAGCTCAAGACTCGTGCCAGTTCGGTGCCAGCCTGAACTTGCGCGGGTCTTCAAATCCACCTCCTCGCCATCCCTCCATCGCCCCCTTCCCACCCCCCCTATCCTCATCCGTTCATCGCTCCTCGTCCCCATACTCGTGGCAAGATGGGATCGAGGTCGAATAAAAAAGCTATGCGGGGTGCGGGGTCAGTCCGCGCGCTGAACTGGCGTGGGCTTCAAACAAGCATCCTTCATGCTGCGCTGCTGCGCCTGTACGGTGGCGATTATGCCGCAGGCAGCTGGATGAAGAGGGGCCTTGAAATGAGAGGGTACATTGCCGCGTATATTCTGGTCTCCATTCTCCTCCTCCTCCTCCTCCTCCTCCTCCTCCTCCTCCTCCTCCTCCTCCTCCTCCTCCTCCTCCTCCTCCTCATCGTCTCCGCCACACTCCGCCCCCACATCGTCCATCTCTCCCCTCTCCC